AATCTAAATCTATTTTTACGCGGTAGGTTGGTAACAGAAAAAATCGTGTGAAAAAGACATTGATCCTTTGCAAAAAGAGAACAAGTATTCATGTTTATTTTATTAAATCATTTTATTTATCATGTGCATTTACACAATCATAGTAATAAAAGAAAAAAATATGTACACTCTTAGCTTAAAAGTATGTAATTAAATTTAAAATTAAATGATGTATGACAAGTTCAGGAACTAAAAACAATAATGTATGTACGTAATACAGCTATGTTGTTAACAAAAACATTAGGTCATTCAATTTTTAAAGTAAAAAAAATATTAATGATATATAAATACAGGAACACAAATTTTATTGCTGTCATCATCATTTACTCAAATTCTCTTGCTTCGAATGCGTATAAAATCACTATCATTGCTGAAATAATTTTGAAATGGACTTTCTCTTGATCGTTCAGCAAGAGTGAACTCTGTTTTGAGCCGAAGTTGGCCAATTCTTGCTACCTCTTTGTATAAATACTTTGAAACGACCCATACAAGAATGGTTTCTAGCTGTTGGTGAGCTGTGATTGCTTTTATTTATTTGTGTTGTGTTATTTTGAATCGTGCTAAATGGACGGATAACAAATTTAAAAATTGTGTATTCTCAAACGGTGCTAAATCAAAGCCGTGTATAAAAAGACCGTGTAAACAACCGGATTAGGTGTAGTAGGGCTTAGAAGTTTAGGTCCACTTCCCTGTAAGAATCAAATTTAAGTTGTAGGCGGATTTATAAGAACAGATTAGATAGCTCGGTCTAGCAAAAACGTTTACTGAAAAGCTTTTTCGCATCACTGTGCCTGTACACGTACACGTATGTGTGTATGTGCCCAGGCTCAATTTCCTGGGAACTGCGAGAAAAAGTACATTTTTCAAATGCTACGGTTTTGTAGCATACATTGCGGGGCGGAAAGCGTAGAAGTGACAATCGCTTTTCGGCAATGCCGGGGATGGCGGGATTGGTGCGGTGGGCTGCGGGAGCGACTACCACTCTCTGCGCCGTGTTGATTTTTATAGTTTTCGAGACAAACATTTAGAGATACTAACCCCCATTGTTTGCGGTCGTTTTGTTTTCTGGCCCATTTGCGTTTGTGCGCCAAACGTCGCACATTTAGTTGTAAATTTGGCGATTAGCACCCCTTTACATTGTGTGATCTGAGCACGTTGCTGTTGCTGTTGCTATTCCTATACCTATTCCTATTGCTGTTGCTGTTGCACCTCCAACCAAACTTTAAGCGCAGCAGCAGCAGCAGCAACAACAGAAGCTACAACAAACGATGGCAACCTCACCAGCCGCATCGCAAGATGCGCGGCGGTTGATAAGTTGAAGAAAATTAGCATAGGCACAGCAGCCGGGCACTTGTATGGCCAATGGGCAGGCCGGGCCACTAAAAGCAACGACGATCTTGGTCTCTTTATGAATAAAACATTTGGGTGAACGGCAGTCCGAGGCACAAAGTTCCATCGCCATTGCCGCCCGTCGCGTAGTTGCTACAAATGTTTTACAAGTTTTTCAGCGCTTGTCGTTGTCATTGCCATTGTTGGTGCTGTTGTTGTTGTTGTTGCTGCTCCTGTTATTGCTGTTGTTGTTGCTGATGATATTGTTGGTGGTGTGAGCAGGCAGTTCCGGGAAACAATTCAGTTTAAAAAGTGCAGCGCACAACTTTAATGTGGTGGTTCATGTACGTGGCCAATAAATCGTCATCGTTTCTACTCCTTCGTCTCCTCCATTGTGCCCACCAAACGAATTTCTTTATGATAGGCTACTCCTTTTGACATTTACTTGTACTCCTGGATGCTTATTTATGATAACAGCCGCAGTGGCAGTTCCAGAGTAGTGGCTGCCCCCAGTCTGCACCGTCTGCTTTCGCAGTTTGTCAGCATTTTGTCGTCGATTTTTGACCCAAAGCTGCGGGCGATTGTTTGAAGCTTTATAAATTTGAGTCACAAGACAGGAAATGAGTTTTTTTTTTACCATATTTAGAATGAGCCCGTCGTCTTGCACATTTGCGCAGCCAAACCCGAGAGCTGCAAACTGGGCCTGCAGGCGCTTTTGAGGGCGCACTGAGGCGCATCATAGTCGCACAAATTTGATACACTGGGTGGCTGCTCGGCAGATTCGTTTAAATGTGGCAACAGTTGAACTGTTGTGCAACTTTGCTGCAAGCTAAAAGTACCGCACAGAAAAACTCATAAATGTATTTTTCATTTTTTTCTCTAGATTTTTGTCTGTTGGTTTAATGAACCGCGAAAATAGTTTCCGTCTATGCTGAAAATTGCACTCTAACGAGATGTGGAAAGATTAAAGTTAGAACAGGCTGCATTACTCTTCAAACAATATTTTGAGGCCACCAAATGATAGGATACTGGTATTAAAGAACCTGTGTAGCCCTTACTGGCCTATTTACGGGGAATAATGTAGGTTTTAGAACAGAATTATTTTAAAAAAAATAAATGAAAACGATATCGTGTTTATTGGGTCTGAGGAAATCAGACAGAAGGTCTTTGTATGCCTCCTTATAATGGCTTCGATAAGTATAAATATATTGCTCGTTTCAAAATTATTTGCTCAATACACCTAGCGGTCAAAGAAAACCTCGTGTTAATCGAAATCGAGTTAAGCCAGACATCGACTCCATACGAAATATGGGGTTCCTAGATTTGGACAAGTGCACAAAAAACAGTTTTGAAAATTTCCACTATTTTAAAGGTGCAACATTTTCAAAATTAACAAGAAGTTACTTCAATATTGAATATTTATCATTAACAGATAAATCTTATTAAAACTCAAAATTTTTGTAAGTCTAAAAAATGCTAAATCATCGAAATGTAAAATTTAAGTACCATTTGGTTCCATTGGCATATATTCTACAAGTAATTAAAACCCATTTTTATGCTAAACATTTTTTTGTTTGTGATGATCCGCTGGTCATAATTTTTACCAATATCCATTCAATGTTGTCTCCTTAACCTCTTCTAGAGATAAAATAAACATTCAAGGCAATAGGAAATTTCTTTCCATTACTCAACCGAATAGCCTAAAATACTTGTAATAGTATGTTTTAAAAGTACCAACTTTTATTTTAACATTCAGATTTTGCTAGTATATATTCCAACAAAAGAAGTGAGTTAAAGTACTTAATACGCTTCTTTTTTAAATTTTGCTCAACTTTTATCGGGTAAGAACGAGGTTTTCAATTTTTAAAAGAGAAAATGTAGCAAATTTTTAATCGTGTTAGACCGAGTTGGTATTAAAAGATATCGTGTTAAGTGTGGACTAGGTGTATTCCAATATTTATTTTTGATTTCACTCTTTCAATTCGGTGTGTGTTCTGTGTAGTAAAAAGTTAATGCAAAATAGCAACAACAACAGCTGCTGGCAGATGATGATCAATCACGATGAAAATTGACGTATACATACAAGTATAGATACATATAGAAAGCACTAATCGAATATACTTAACTGCCAAAAAATCACTCAAAATACGGCATGTTATTGAAAATCGATTATATAGCAGATTCGCATAAGCGTCGCGTTCTTTTTGTATCCTTTCAGTACAAGGTATACAAAATTTATGCATCGTTTCTGATATAATGTGGTTTCGAAGGGATAATATGATTTGGCTTAGGCGCTGAAACTTTGAGGTTTAATTTTAAATTAGGACTATGCCTATAAGCAGTTTGTATTTCTTAACAGTGCTTTGCAACATTCTTGAACGAAGTAGTGATTGAAAGAGTCGGGTGGATGGAAGGGCATCACACCTATCAGTGATCAGCGGAGTGTTATTAGCATTGCTGTATAATTTTCTCATTTGAAGTACGGCTTATCTTAATTTCTCACTAACAGTACATAATTTTTGTCTATGTTCTTAATTTCTATTTCTTCCTTTCTCATTTAAGGAATATATTTTGGTCCGAGAACAGATGTGAATAACAGATTCGATTCATGAATCCTTTTCTTATTTTAAAAGAATAATTTAATGTTAGAAACCTAACAATAGTTCTCTTGAAATTGGTAAAAATGATGAAATTATTAAAAAGATTTTTTCCTTTTGAGTGGAATAGATAAATACGCATAATATTTTAAAGAGCCATGTCCAAATATTTCTGAAATAAATTGTTTATTTTCATTTGATTATACATGACCCCATCCAATCATATAGTTTAGGATTTGACTTTTATATGGAATCATTCAGTACCACGACACTTAACATCGCCCTTCAATCCCCTAATGTTCACCTGAGACAAAACACCAACGCCATTTTAATTAAAAAGCGTTCACTCATCCATTGCGCAAATTATATAAATTGAAATAACAAACAATAAGCATTTTTGATCAACCATACACCATGAACCGTTCGCGGGACGGAGCCAACATCAACTGTGGCCATCCAATGTGTGGCCCACATGCATGAAAAATCAATCAAGCGTGGTCATAGTAAACATTTCTGTCCGTCGCCGTGATTAGCCAACCAGCTCCGGGGACGTCAGTGGCGGCGGGAGCGATAGCGCTTGCTCACATTTCCTGCCCGAAAATGGAAATGTTTATTAAAAATTTTCACTTTTACATAAATTGTGGAGCTGCGACTGCTTCAGTAGCACATGCAGCTGCGCCTAACCACACCCAGTTCGGTTACTACATGATAAACGCCCCCGGGCTTATGTACATATGGTGTGCGCATGCTGTCGTCTCGCTTGCTCTGCCTGCCCATTGGACGCTGCTTTAAACCGGTTTGAGGCCATGCGCCAATACGCGTAAGCAGCCATTTTCCGAGGAGAGCACTATATACTCGTACATGCCGTATGTGAATGTATATATATGCGCATAAGTGGCACTCCGGCAGTCTCGCTGTCGTTATGTTTCCTTCTGCGTGTGTTGTGTGGGTGCGTTCGATCCCGGGCGCACCTTTGACAAGCGTCGTCACCGCTGCTGTTTGAAGGAAGCTAGAATTGTAACATTTGAGAAGCGCTTTTGGCAGATTGATTTTGAAAATATATTTTGCTGCTAGTTGTTATTTGGTATTAAATATAACAGGTTTTAGTTCCATTTCGTTTATGGAAGCAACTAAGCTAGAGTTCTGCCTGCCTATGTACACTCAAATGTCGTCCCATATTACTGTTTCTTGCTTGTACGTACCATAAAGTTGGTTTGTTTGTATGTTTGTTTTAAAAAATCACATAATTAAAATATACCAGGGCTAAGCTCAACTAATAAGTCAAAAAACACTTTCTAGGTAACACTTAAAAGCTAAATATGCGTTCCTTGAAACCGCTTGTGGGTGCACTTGCCCCTCTAGTGATGGCGCAGTGCCTCGTTGATGGCGCGCAGTATATTTATTTGAAGATCAGTAAAAGCTACTGGGTCAAGTTGTGCACTGCGTATTTTCATGGCCACCGCTTTAAAGAATGCGCCAATTTCATCATCATCGTTCATGCTGCTGTTGATACAGCCAAGTGGGAAGGCTGCATGACTGTTTGTGGGCGTTGCAGCATTTTGATAGCGCGAGCTTGTAGATGTTGGTGTGTGAACCTCCTGTTTTTGTTGGAAGTCGGCGGCAGCGACGGCAGCAGATTCCCGCTGTTGATGCTGCTGCTGCTGTTCCAAATTGCTGCCATCATTGAGTGGCTCCGGCGTCTGAGAATTCACAGCCTTTCCCAGTGTGTTGCTTACATCTTGTACAGAAATATAAACATGTTCATCTTCCGTTTCTTGGTAGCTTACTACATGCTGTTGTTGCTGCTGTTGCTGATCTGCAGATGTGACGGGTTCCATGTCTTCATCCTCTTCATCTTCATCTTCGTTATGCGCCACATCGCCGTTAATATAGTTCTCTATGTCCATTTCATCATAGCTGGTAACACATAACTCGTTCGCTTGGTCGTGCTGCTCCAGGGCATTGCCCAGATCCACCTTGCTGTGTGGGCCCGACAGCTGCGGCAGTGAGGATATGTTTAGCTGTGCAGGCACAGGCGATTCAGCCAGCGTTTGCTGGGCCTCAGTGCGTAGAGGAGAGTGGGAAGCCATGTGTTCCTCCATGTCACTGGCCGGCTCATGCTTTGGCAGAAGCAGGTTAAGCTGCGCTTCACTATCGCTAGGAATAGAGACGAAGTGTAACATCATAATATAATCCCTGATTTTTGATATTTGCTACTTACAGAGACTTTTGTTGTATGAACTTTTGCAAAAAGTTGAGAGAGTCATAATGCTTCCAGCGTGAATGAGTGTCTACATTCGTAAGTGTCTTTAAGCGCTTGTGCTCACGAGCATACTGATCGCGCAGGGCCTTCCACTTTTGACGGCATTGTTTGACTAAAATAATTGTATTCGTGAGTGTAGATGTAAGCACGGTTTTACAACAAAGTGGGAAACTTACCCGGCTTCTTTAGCTTGCGTGCTATCTCATCCCACACAGCAAGCTTCAGCTTGACGTTGCGATAATTTTGGTTACTGTAGTTGTAAATCATGTCTTCTTGTTGTATCAGCGTGATCAGTTCTTTCTCGAAGTAGCTTTCCATGTTGAGGAATGTGTGGATAGGATCCTCATCTTCCTCATCGACTGTGGGCTGGTTATGCGACGAGTGATTAGTGGCAGCAGCGTTCACGCAATCCACGAAGTCATTGTACAAGGTATCTTCGGCCGTTGTGTTGGGTGTGTCACGCGCCGCTGTGGCCGCAACCACGCCATTGGTGCTGGCCTCACTAAGATAGTCCCAATTGTTGTTCTGTTGTCCTTGTGTCTGCTGCTGTTGCATGGCGTTGCTAATTTGTCCCGCAATTAATGCATGCATTAAGCGTGTAGACTCCGTTTTCTTGTCGGCCACAGTCGCAGTCGTAACTGGTGCACTGGTTGCGACAACTGTTGTGGATGGCACAAAATTGCAATCTTCCAAAAGCGCAGCGCTCGCTCCTTCCATTTTGATGTTGGCAAATTTGTGGGTGTCTCCCCCAAGCGTCAGCGTCTGGCTGCTGCTATTACTGCTAAATGAATGGCTGTTGTTGTTACCAAGTGCCGTAGACACACTGGGCAGCGTTGACGAGGCAGTGCAGACTACATTGTCGTTAGAGGCATGCGTACGATAGCTGAACATATAAAAAATATGATAAGGGGCAATAATCACAATATTTCATAGAGCTTACTTGCGTGCCAGCGCAAACGGTCGTAGAAAGTCCAGTTCCTTAAAGTATTTCCATTTCACGTTCACTTTCGCACTTGCTTTGGCGCGTTTTAATTCGCGACAGTATTGGTCTCGCATGGCCTTCCATTTGGCCTTGCATTGTGCGTCTGTAAATACCGTGTAAGCAAGTTAACTGTTGTCGGTAATCCGGCAAATTGTTATGTCACCTGTCCAGCCTACATGACAGCCTATTTCATTCCACTTCTCGTCCTTGCGCTGCGTGCTGCGATAATGCTGATGCTTTGGATTGTAGAGCAACTGCTCCTGCGACACTAACGATATCAATATTAGCTCCTTCGATATGGTCACGACATTATCGCCCATACTGATGCTGGCCTCCATGTGGCTGAGATTCACTAGTTGTTGCGCCTCCGCCTCATTTAGCTTCGGCACGGGTCCAATTAATGAGTTTTTGTGCTCTTAACAACCAATTGCAACCGACACATACCTGCACTTCATTTGTACATGGCAGCGTTTCCATAACGTCTCTCACGTTGCGTTCAATGCTAATGGCTCATGGCTCGTTCAGTTTGTTTGATAATTTCCGTAAAAAAACAACTCTTTTCGGAAAGAAAAACAAAATGAGGTGGTCGAACAGCTGTAAATGGCACGGAAACGGCTGTGTATTTTTGTGTGACCGTTCGATAATCCGATGTAGAAATTCATATTGAATTCAGTTTAGTTACTTAGGGATTTATTATCTGGTCACCCAAATACTCAACAGTTGCGGCATCTTGAACGGCGTATCTATCGCTGCATTGGTGTTATCGATGTTATCGGTGTTTGTTTCATCGGTGTAATGTCGATACGAGCAAAATTTTATACGATGAGCTAATATAAAAAACATATATTTTAGGGTACTATGTATGTTCATAGACCATTTTTGACTATGGGACGATTTTACGGAATCAATGTTTAATGGTGGCTGGCTTAATTATGTACCTATTATTTGATTGTATTGAAAAACAAAAACAATCAAAAATCTATCGTACATACGACAATTTCCACAGAAGCATACATACATATGTATGCATGGACATTAAATGCAAACTAAGCGAATTTGTTACAAGAAAATCGGTTACTTCAGCAACTTATGTATGTACATATGTATGTACATTGTATGTAGTCAGATTCACTTTTAAAATCTGCATGTGATTTTGTCTTTGGTTTAGTTGGTCACATTGCAGGTTTTGGCCGGAATAATACAATTTAAATATTAAACAGAAATACTCGAATACGGCTATTACATACATATGTAAATAAGAATTTAAATTGTTCGAGAAATACATATAAGTTCAATTAACTGGCCCTTTATTACAGATATGTATGTACATATGTATATTGTTTTTAGCCACTGTTGTTTTGAGTTAAAATATGTAAGCACAGTACAATAAAGGTATACATTTTGAGTAACATAATTGATGAAGCCTTAGCCCACGAAAGGCAATTTTACAAAAGTAGTTCTTAATTGCCGTTTTGTATACCATTTCTCAGTTCTCTGGCAACTGGACCATAATAAAGGCCAGCTGCTTCTTCACAAAATATATAATTTTAATCAGCTTGGCAGTGCTATTTCCAGGCATGCGCTTTATCAGTTAATTTAAAAAGTTGCGCGGCGAATTTGTATACTGGCTTCAAGTTACAAATTTCGCTTTGTTGAAACAACTAATCCAATTAGTTAATTGCATTATAGTCGTGTCCAAGGAAAACATCATAACAGCGTAAGTTAAACAACTATTTTATTAGTTTGTCTTTCTACTTTGTACGTGCTGGTAGTTGGTACTTGTGGCTGGAAATTTATTCGATATTTGTGCAAATTGCAATTAATGCCCAAAAATGCCAAAAATTGATCCAGAAACCCAAAAGCTATATGATGAGATAAACGGCATGATACAAAAGTTTAAGGTGCACTATCTTAATGCAAACGCAAACAAAGTTCACAACTAATTTGCGACATACACTTATACAATACATACATACATACATATGTATGTACATAAATAATAGTAGTCATTTATTTTTATTTACAGGATGATCAGAAGGCAAAGGCAGACTGCACACTGGCAGACAAATGCGGTGACATGGGCGATGTCCCAAAAATCCGTTTTTCATCAAAAAAAATCCTCAAGGGTCATATAAATAAGGTAAACTCGGTGCACTTCGCTGGCGACTCCCGTCATTGCGTCACCGGCTCATTAGATGGAAAGCTAATTATCTGGGACACATGGACTGCAAACAAAGTCCAGATCATACCCTTGCGCTCAGCCTGGGTAATGACCGTGGCATTTTCGCCATCTGGAAATTTCGTGGCTTGTGGAGGCATGGATAACCAATGCACGGTTTATGACGTGAACAATCGTGATGCTTCGGGTGTGGCGAAAATGGTGCGAGAACTGGTGGGCTACGAAGGTTTCTTGAGCTCTTGTCGTTTTCTGGATGATGGACATCTAATCACAGGCTCGGGCGACATGAAAATGTAAGTCGGACCAAAATAAAAATACTCATAAATTCTACTATTTTTGACCGCACAGATGTCACTGGGACTTGGAAAAGGGTGTCAAAACAATGGATTTCAATGGGCATGCTGGCGATATTGCCGGTCTTTCGTTGTCACCGGACATGAATACTTATATAACCGGCTCCGTGGATAAAACTGCCAAACTGTGGGATGTGCGTGAACAGGGACATAAGCAGATGTTCTTTGGGCACGACATGGATGTTTCCTCTGTCTGCGTAAGTGCTTACATAACGCATAATGAAATAGCTTTGTATTTGCTTTAATATCGGCCTGCTTTAGTATCACCCAAGTGGATTTGGCTTTGCTTCTTGCTCGGAGGATCAAACAGCTAGGATGTATGACTTGCGGTCGGACCAACAGATTGGGCTCTATGAGCCGCCCCAAAAGAACACGGGATTTACATCTTGCGGTGCGTGTGCTCATTTCGCCTTCAATTTCCACAGTATCTAATCTGATTTTTTGCTCATTAGCTCTGTCGACTAGCGGTCGCTACTTAATGTGCGCGGGCGTGGAGGGAAATGTGCACTCGTGGGATACAATGAAACAAAGACATACAGGTGAGCAGTGTGGGGTGCGGGCTCTTGATTTTTAAGTATATTGATTTCTTTCATTTTGCTTTACGTGCGCTTAGGCACGCTGTCTGGGCACGAGAATCGCATAACTTGCATCAGTCTGTGCCCCAATGGCATGTGTCTAGCCTCGACTAGTTGGGATCAACAAGTACGTTTGTGGCTCTAAATGAATTGCCTACTATCGGTTCAATATCGTTTATAACAATTACTAACTTTGTAGCTAATTAATTAAAAACTAGCGATAAATTTGCTTGTTTGAGAATAAACGCATTACACAATGTAATAAATAGCGCCAAACTTACAAATCTGGTATAATATTACTAACTACATGACTCTGTTCTCTTAACATTATAAATCATAAATATTATAATCAGTGCCACGCTTAAGGACTTGTGTACAAAAAATAAATTACACAAGTGCACGAATACTCGTATACCTTCTTATATACAAAACCTAACTCAGTAACAACTCAGTAAAATCTTATAATTTTACACACATTAAATCAATTGATATATGAGCATTAGGATGAGGGCTTTCTATTATGAATTACTTAATTTAAAATAATGTTCCAATTATAAAAGCATCCGCAAGATCCGCCGTATCCAACGATTTAAAAAATATGGCTTTTTGGGAAAGCTCTTGCATTATTTTAAAAAAATCTATTTATTCTATAGTACAAGTAAAAACCCTGAGCTCGTTGTGGTTAAGGATTCCGAAGACGGCTGAAAAGGGAGTTGAGAACTGGTGGAAATATCTATTATAAATTATGAATAAAACCAGGAAAGGATTGTCCAATGCATAGTTAGTTGTGCATCTATTAAGAGCAAGACAATCGACCATTATTCCTGAAAGGAACTGAGGAAATAGGGGAACCTAAAAGAGATAAAGAATCGACACTCCTGACAATCAATTAATGGAGAAACACAACTCCAAGGAAGTCTGCTTGGGGGCGGAGATGCACGCAAAGGTTGGGCTTAATCCACGAAGAGCCAGAGAGGTATAGGGATCATTAAATTCGTTGGACCAATGCTTAATGAACTCAAGAACTCTCTTTGTTTACTAAACAAGTACAAGAGATGTAAAGACTGAAATTCTGTTTGGAATCAAAAAGCACTTAATGATCTGCGAGATTACCAGCCACAGAGCATTGTGACTAACGAGATGGTGGAAGCTCAATCGACATTCTATGCCATTGTCCTCTGCTCTGGACAAACACGACAAAATACCTTTATGCGTATAGGTCCTCCTAACTGAAGGAGTCGGTAAAAAATATTCTCCCATTATTCTGATGGAGCCTTCGAACCACAGTAAGATTGTGACTGATCGCAATACTTAAAAAAAATGATGTTCCAAATCCGGGTACGAAATAAATTAATAAATATAAAAAAATGTATAAAGTACTTTAATTAAGAATGATTTTGGCGCCGATTCAACCTATGGCAGCTACTTGTATATAAAATGCTGAATATATGTGGTTTGCGATAAACTTTGTCTGCGTTTAAGTATATCGCATGCAGACTAACACTGAGACGATGATGTATGTAATTAAAGAACACATTAGGCATATCGATTTTTTAAAATATATTTTTTATATCTTCTTATAAAAAATACCTATATAATTAAAAAGATTTGTCTGCTGCTGCGATTTTTGGCGCGTTTTTGTGAAGGTTGTTTGAACAGAACAAAGAAGCAGCGAATAGTAAAATAAAACAAATCACTGTATCATCAACATAATCAAAGAGAAAATTAAAATAACAAAATCGGAGAATCAGTAGGAAGTAGGGAAATGTGAAAAAGAAATAGCAAGGAAAGAGTGTTATAAATAAGAGTTGAAAAGAAAACAGTTCTAGAAAGTGATTCTAAAGATGTAACAATTGAGTATTTTTGCATTCCATAGTTCGGTTTGTGTGTGCTTGTGTGTGTAGATAGTAGACGCAAATTAAAGATTTTAGTTTATCAGACTCTCGGTGGAACTACAATAAGTTGTTCTCTTGTTTTATAGAAAGGATAGATAGTGTGTTTTGTTCTGTCTTAAACGGAGAAACCATCGCCAGTTGGATCCAAGATCCAAGGGTAGTTATTGGGGCACTCCATGCAAGTGAACAGGCGAAGCGTCTCACCGGGCAGCTCCCTGGTGGTCAGCGGACACGCATTAGGCAGCGAGCAATAGGGTTGACCCTTAACGTCGCACTTCTCCTTCCATTCCTGGAAGTCGCGCAGTGAATTCAACTCAGTAGGGTTTTGCATCCACTGAATAACCTGCAAGTTTGTAACAAAGAAGACGTCGTTACGGCCCAGCATTTCTTCGATGAACTTGATCAGCTCGTCGCGGTATTCCTTCTTCGACTTGAGCCATGATGCATGGAAATGCAGACCTAGAGGAGCACGGTTGCTATTGTAGTGGCGGTTGAAATTATGACGCAGGAGACGAGCGAACTGCTCGCCGCTGGCAACGTTTGAGCACGAGTCTACCATATGACAGCCAGGTAAGGATTCATCGAAAGTGGGATCGTCACGGCGATCCAACTCGTTCATGACCATCTCCCAGACGGGATGGCTACGCGATGGGCAATTGTGGGCGTTGCCATTGCACTTGTGGGGCATGCGGAAGTACAGGGTGTACGGCCAGATGGGCACACGACCCAGGGAAGCGGTGATCGAGGCGTCGTAAACAAAGAACTGATCTGCCATCATCTCAAACTGTTTGTTGCCACCTACACGCAGATAGGGTGCTCGCATGCCAATGATGGAGCCATCGGTAATGTTTGCGAATCTCTCGACAATGAGACGGGAGCCGGCCATTTCGGCGAGCCAGTCATCGTAGCTGCCACCTGTCCAGTAGTTTGGATCATCCTTGTGCGTCAAAGAAAAGACGGAGATCTCATGGCCGCGGCGGTGCAGATCCTGCACGGCCGAGTAGTTGGTGTACTTGTGTGAAACAAAGAAAGTGCCCTTGATGGAGCAACCGTTGGGATTCTGACGCTGGCCATTGAAGATATCTTCATACAAATCGATGTTGTCCACATTGACGGCACCATTGAAGGTTATCGTGATCATCTGTGGTACTTGTTGGGGTTCAATGCTGCCGGGAATTCGTGTACCGTCCGCGGAGCAGAAGCAGTCGGGTAGAGCGCACTGTGTGGTATCGCACTCGGGTGCTCTGTTGGGATCCTCGTCGACGGCTAAACATAAGAAGGGATGACCGCTGTGGTAACTTTACAAGGCATTTATTAATCAGTAACTTACAGCAAGCATTCTCATCAGACTCGTCCTTGCAGTCGGGCTTGCCGTTGCAGAAAAGCTCCTTGTCCAAGCACTCACCGTCTCCGCAGGACAGCTTTCCCTCGGGACAAATGGGCTCGTCAGTCTTCAGTATAGGCTTTGCCTTACGAGGCTCTATGGGTGATTGGTAAGGGTGAAGTTTTGGATTGGTTAGTCCGATTTTCATTATTCAGCTAAGGGTTAGTTACGACAAAAGGTCTAAATTTTGAAATGAAGAATGTGGCTGATGTGTTAGCATAGTTTTAGATTAGTGGTGTAATGTGCTGGTAGCAGGTGAAGACCAAAGTTCCAAAATTTGACTCGTTTGCTATACAAGTTGTTCTGACTACTAAGAATTGTATTTAAAAATTTGGTTACTGCTGGGAGTTTGGCAGACGGTACACTTACTCTCTTTCTCGTCGCAGTTTGTCACCTTAGCCTTCCAGTCACAGGTCTGTTTATATATATCGAAGGCCAAACCGGAAGGGCATTGAATTTCTTTCAACCCCGACTTTGTACATCTATAAAAATAAAGTTGAGTTGGTCAGGTCTCGTTTTGGGGTAAACGGTACATCGTATTATTGCTGAGCTGGGACCTTGAATTACAAACATATCCCCACTCTGCTGCTGTTGCTACAAGAACTTTGGCCCAAATCCAGGCTTAATGTAATGTACGATTAAATCGATTGATAGGGATTATCGATAGATAGTTAGTGACAGACGCACACAAATGAGATGTGTAACAGACACAGACACAAATAGGCAGACAGATTAAGAAAAAAGATTGGGAAAGGAGCAAAAGGTTGTTAGAGTGAGACAGTATAGCCATAGGTGCAGTTTGCTTGAGCCTCCAAATGTCGGTAGATTTTTTGCGACTCAATGCTACTGCATTCTGGACAACCCCACTTACTTTCTGCGACGTCACAATTCTTCACATTCGATTTCCAATCACATATCTGACGCAGAACATCGAACGCCAAGCCACCGGAGCAGCGAATCGACGCCAAACGTTTGGTGCCATCTTCAGCAGCATCTTCACATCTTTATTTTGTTTGAGTTGAAGTGGACAGTGGACATTGTATAAACAAAACAAAGTTTGATAAAGTGGCCCCGCAAGGACAAGTGGCAGTTTGTGCAACAAGCCCAGTCTCTCATGCTAGACTTAAGCCAGTACCTTACCTGTACACTTCACGACAATCGCCTTCGGAATCGAGACGGAAGTATTCATCGGCGGGTCGATCCGCACAAGCTTCCTCCACATCAACACCTTCAAGTTTGTCTCTGCCATCCTGACAGTGTGCTGTTATCAATGAAAAGAGGTGGGATCGTAAAAATTATATTGCACCACCGAAGAGATAAGTATACAAGTATTTCAATGGTGCTAGCACTGATTGATTTATTATATCATATAAGAAGGTCATTGAAGATTAATCGGTCAATAGACCTGGCCAGTTATTAAATATTCAATATTTTTTAAAATTATAATATGCATGCAAGCTTTTGAACGAATTAAGTCTTAAGTTTTTATAATTCGAATCACCCGTTTCTTATAAGCTCTGTTGTTGCGGATACTATCAACAGGTTTTGGAGTCTGCGGCTTCTAAATCAAAACAACTCTCAATTTTTTATCTCTGGCTTTCAAATGAAAACGAAATGGCACTGAAAGCAAGCGAAGCTGGCTAGCTATCATCTACTGCCTGCTTTCCGCTAATGGACCATGTTTTTGACATGTAAGGTGTGAGGTAGCAGCTGCCCCGATATATCCCGCATATCCAAACTCGTTTGTCATCTTATTGGCCAACTCTTGTGGTTGCGGCTACTGTGGCCTGGTCCACGGCAAAACAAAACCAGTTTTCAGTATAACATTAAAAAATCAGATTGCATAAACAATTTTTGCCACACTCGCACACACCAAATTATTAAACGGAACCAATGTGAGCGGGCCAAATTAAAGCTGTTTCTGTAAGCCAGACCGTTGACGGCTGACTGTAGCTTATGCTAATTTTTTGGCCAGGTCCGGGTGAAGCACCGCGCTGTCCTCTTGCCACAGTTATAAGCGCGCTGTCTGCGCCATTTCTGGTTTCGCCTTTTGGGCCAGGTCCGATTCGCATTTCCGAATGCGGGTGTTGCATCATCAGCAAACCTTGTTAATTGCCACAGTACGGGTAAATACGAGTACGACTGATGGTTGAAATGTTGAAGTCGATTTTAAGTCAACAACTCTTGCATTGCATGTGGCTAATGATTTATAACAATTTTTCAAGTTTATTTGCCTTGGCAGCCAACAACCGAGCGAATCGAAACTGTTGTCTCTAACTATTATGACCGACAACAACCTTGGACGCAAGGTACCCAGCCCACCACCTTTCCGCCGCCCACCCACCGCCCCTGCCAAAGAGAGTTTCACGAGGCTGGGCACTCGATTGGCAAAGGTCAAGAGGGCGTGTCTGCACCGAACACCTTCGGACAAACCCATATTGTAATTGAATGTGGTTAGTACTCACCCATTGCACAGAAGAGCACAAAAATGCTCAATATCGGCCACACGTACGCCATGTTGGGGACAGCGCTTCTAAAAAGCAGAAAGTATGGTTTCAATATTAATGCACTTTGTATGGATATATTCGGAGTTGTTCGATATATGGATTTCAGTTGACGTAGACGTACCGTCGCTCAGCTCACAATGAAAACGACGGCTTTACCAAGAGGAAGCGTAACAGAAAGTACGTTTCCAATACACAGCCACGCTTACACTAGGTGTTGGCCACTGGCAACGAGGTCTATTTATTAAGCTGTGGTGCCTGCTATTTAAGCCGTGGTGAAATGCAGGCCCGCAAACTCACCACGCACCGCTGCCGCGCCGGCGCATAGCAGCGCCGCGAGCTTTCGAGGGGAATCGAGCGAGTGTTTGTGTGTGCGATTGTGGAACGCATTCGAGTCGGAAATGGCAAGCAAACCAGCTTGTTTGCGAGTACGTGTATGTTGGTGTGTGTGAGTGTGAGTGTGAAGAAAGGTTAATCGGCATTAGTGCAGGTGTGTTCGAGAGCGTCTGATTCTGTGGAGGCATAAGCTGCACCTTTGTCTGCACCCCTTGGCCAGATCCGTTGCTCTATAACCAAATGTCAGCTGCTATCTGTTGAGCTGTACATCTTTTGTATTTGGACATAAATCATACAAAAATGCATAAATCTTAGTTCGACTTGTGGTTTGCGACAACACGCTGACCCTGAATTCAGTCTGAGTCTTATTAGTCTCTGCCTCTGTATCTGCCTCTACCCCAGCCTGCTCCCTCCCCCTCTCGCATTCTCCCTGCGCTTGTGGTTCTGGGCCATCCATTGCCGATATTTCGTAATTATTTTTATGCCTCTTCTGTGCATTCAGCATGTCAGCATATTGTACCTATGGCGACTTATACACGTTTTCATCATGTCATGTCATTTAGTAACTTTTTATTTTCACCCTCACTGGCCCAGCATGCCAAGTAGTTGCGGTTTCATTTCACTTCTGAGACTGAGCCCGCTCCGTACTCGCTTTGCATACTAACTTAACGTTTAGCCTGTTTTAGTGTGTAAACACTAAAAGCTGCAACAACAAGTTGAGTTTCTGGCAGTTACGATGCGATCTAACAAATTGGCCATGCTACTCACATACCTCACATAAAATTCTCGATAACGTGGCTAAGACACAAAAGGTTGTTAAACCTGTAGCTCCAGCAGTTTCCAGCAATTGTGTGATTCCATAGCTTCTGCCATATAGCTGCCATTGCTGTCGCCCACTGCATATCTTCAAGACTGAAAAGAGCCAAGCCAACAGCTGCGCATGCTCATTGCGATCGCGATGACTCACATGCCAAATTTACCTTTTGCCCATCTTTGCCAAAGATCACGAATATTTAATTAATGGTAAATTGATTACGCCGTCGAGTTGTTATTATTGCTGTTGCTCGCCGTTATGCAAGCTGTACAGGCAGGCGCGCCAAGGAAATGGGCTAACATGTTACTCAACAAAGTCCAAGTGTGTGTGAGTGCGAAAGCGGAGCATGTTTGCGGATATGAATTCGCAGAGCTCGTATCCAAAGATGGACGGGGCTTGTTAAGCTTGTTAACTTAGTCTCCACTCACAACATGAAATGCGAAAGAGTTTGCGAGAGTTTGGAAGGGTGGAAGGACAGTCCGTTCTCCATTGTACATGCGTGTACGCATTAATGTATGCACAGATGAGAAGATTGTCAACATAAAGCAAGAATGGAAACCTACTGTATCGCAGGCCCAACTCCTAAATACTCTAAAACGACACCTTAAATAAATTCAAATTTTTTTTAATTAAATAAAACTAAGAAATTTGCAACACAGCGACATACATACATATGTTTATGGACAGTCTTAATAGCATACATACATTTACATAAAACAAGAGTGGAAACGTACAGTACCGCAGATCCTAATACCCTAAGACCTTAAACACCTTAAAAAAATTTGAATTTTTTTAAATGAAATACAATTAAAAAATTAGCAGCACAGCGACTTATGCTTATGTACAGTTTCAATGTCATACATATGTACATTTACAACTGGATTATGTCTATGCTCCCATGTGCATGTATTTTGGCAGTTCGGAGATGATGGAACAACAACAGCAGCAGCTGCTGGCAAAGCTTAAGTAAAGAATACATTTTTAAAAATTAATTCAAAATATAAATTTCTTAAAAATTTACCCATCATGACGGAGTGCATCTAAAACACACAAACTTGTCTTTTCTCGCATTTGGGGGAATATGCATAATAAGTTTGGTTATACAAGCTCTTATACTTTCTGAGATCTTTGTGTTCATAAGCACGGAAAGACGGACGGACGGACATTGCTATATCGAATCGTTCAATTAGTTCCAAAGCAAAATGACAAAAACGAGTCGAGCATTACTTAAGATTCAAAGCTCAAACAAATAAATACTTTGCGGCATAACTACTATACTTCATACATACACATAAACATATTCACATTTATAAGATTTTTAAAAATTTTATGAGTGCGAGAACTTTTCTAGTATTAACAAAGTCAGCAATCTGGAAATTTCACGAAACGCACAGTCGCTAGAGATGGGAATATGTTAGCTTTTTCGGTCCGACACACCTAAAATTTGTAAAACAAAAATATGTCTTTTAATCAATGCATTAGAAAATAGGGGAAACTTTACATGTACATGTACAAATGAATGTATGATCGACAGATAGCGAAAAATTTGTATAAAAATGGCTTATATTTATTAACATTGCTTTTGTGTAGATATGTCTTTCCCAACTAATAACATGCTTTCCATAATAAAATGCATATTTACCAACGCATATACATATACTTGTCTGTGCAATAACTTCTTAATATTAAGCTATTTTTTCATCGTGTTTCCACATTCGTGCCTTCTTGTACCATTTTAAATCAATCCGACCACGATCGGACACGCACGAAATCGGAATATGAAACACGAACATGCGTGTGCACGCAGTGCTACGCAGTGTTGCTTGTTTTACATATTTGAGTTGTTTGTTTTACTGCATATCCGAACTAACATATTATATCATAATTTAGTAAAAGGTTTTTTTTTGCAAAATTGAAGGTTTAGTTTTGTTGAGAACCCCAACTAAGACCTCGATCGAACGAATTTAAAGAGACGTACCTTTTTTCAAAAATGTGAAAGCCCTAATAAAACAGGTCCCATGAATATCAGTCAATCAATCAGGACAAACTGTTTTATGTACCTACGTATGTATGTATGTATATATATATAAGAGTAGGAATATCTTAGTACGAATGTATGTATGTACATATACTTGTAGTACCCCTTTCAGATCCCACACCAAACTACTGAATACCTTTTATGATTTTTGAAATATATGGTCTTTATATTTTATGACAATTTTCTTAATGTCTAGGTTTCCCAATTTGAATATGCTTTTGGATTTTCAGGACATGGCTTTTCAGGACACCTGTTTAAAATTTTAGGTAAACAACATTATTTTTGCCACAAATGCCTGAAACTCATTATTAACGCTAAAATTGATTTAAAATAAACACTTTTAAATGCGTTTTTTTTTTTAGCTATTTATTCGCGATTATTTTAATTCTTAATTGAAGTGTCTTCATACCTCTGCAGCTTTTTTTTCAAAAAAAAAAATTTTTTTCGTGAAATTTTGTCATGTTTAAGCAACGGTAAAGCGAACCGCGGAACAATGTGAGAAACAAACGTAAACAATAACCTGCACAATCGAAACTTTTAGGTCTTATAAACATTCGTTAAATATAAATGGAAATATTGTGGACAGAAGCTACCCGCACAATCGATGCATCAGGGTCTGAAAGGAATACATATACGTAACACCCTTGGCATTCTCATCAAAGTGACAGATCAGTATGACGAGATGAGTCGATATAGCCTGTTCAGACCGTGCATCAGTCTGTATAAGTATGTACATAGATCTATATTGAGTATATGAATCTCCTAGTATAACATAAACTATATTATTTTAGGTCAAAGCTTGCATAACTACTTGTAGATTTCCATCAAGTAATTTCTTCTTATAAATGCGTATAAATTAATGGCCTAAACATATCCGTCTGCCTGGATCTTTGCTTGAAACGGTGGCCCGACTTGATATGTTGATTCTCCTAGTCGGTAGGAAGGTTTTTTTTTTAACACATTTTAGGATGATTGCCTTCTTAGCCCTTTGGGCGGCCCCAAACTGCAGTAGCGTTTTCGGTCTTCATTTTATTTATTTATTTATTTTTGATTTTCCAATGCGCGCATTGGAATCAAACGCCACAGATTAGACGGAAAAAAATTAACACTGAAACGAGCGTCGATTTAGTGTGTGTTTGCCGGTAATAAGAAGTATTCAATTATGATTCTAAAAAGGCTGATCAAATTCTTATTTAATATATATTTGTTCGAAACTACTGAAGGTAAATCGTCTACGCTCATTCGATTATATAGAAAATGCGTTAAATGTTATTTATAGGGTGTAGAGTCGCATATGAGTTACGACGAACTGGCAGCACTCTTTCATAATAAATTTTGTTTTGAAATGTGAAATGTCCACAAAGTACTCAATGCACACTAAAATGCTGTGTAGAGGAGCACACTCGATCACCTAATATACTATATATACATATACGGTTTTGGTCAGCAAACTTGAGTTTTTTGTTTTTGATGATGTATTTTTAGCTCGTATTTTTCAATCGTATTGCTTTGGAATCTATTTACCCATTTGTGTTATTTTAATATTTAGCTTAATTTTGAAGGAAGCCATAAATGTAATCTCTCTGTCGGGTACAGAGTATATGAGAGTCGGGCGCGAGCCACTCTAGCATTCAAATCGTTTGGATATAGGGTATTAGACCGTTGCGCTACCTCGATTGTAACATTCGTTCTTGTTTTCTCCATATTCAATTATATTTCTTTTTGTTAATCTAGATATGTATGTGAACCAAATTGCACATTAAGAAAGTTGTCATGTTCAATTGCGTTGCATTCCTCGGGCTCATGTTACTCTAGCATTCCATTCTTGTTTCTGTCGTGACTTTAGTAAATTTTATTTTGTTATTGGATTTAGCTTAAATACATGGTTGTAATAGATTGCCATGACATGATACGTGTATGTCAGTTCATGCTTCCAGCTGCTGACCAAAGTTGATTTTGCTGCCGCCCCAATGTCAATTACGAGTGTTCGGGCCCGATCTGGAAAGAACCTGCGGTGGCTTACGAGTACACATTGCATATATTGCACAGTTATTTCCTGAACTTGAAAACAAGTTTCGCTCGTAGAACATAAAAAACCAGCAGCCAACATGGCGTATGGGCCATTTGTGTTAACTTTTTGCTCTGTTTGCTTAACTTGCTGCTGTCGTCGTGTTGCCGCTGGCTTGTGTATGTTCCTCTGCGTTGGCGAGCTGTAAAATTCTTGAAATTGCGACTCATTAAAGCTGCATTTTAATTGCTTGTGTCAATTAGAGGTGACTGGCTGGGACCCAGTCCCAGCATACCCAGAGTATACCATAGATACATATGTATGTACATATGTCGTTTGTCGTTTGTCTGCCCGTTCGCTCCATCGTCAGTTTGTTTGTGTGTCTGCCTTTGCCTTTGTCTTTGTCTTTGATTGTTTGTCGTTGTCTCGTCATCGTCATCGTCATCGGTATTGTCGTGAGTGAAGGGTGCGCCAGATGGTGGCTAAGCGGCAGAAGCTGCAAAAAGCTGCTCACCTTCTGCAAAATTTGATTGCGACTTTTTGATAGTTACAATTAATTTGCGCTTGCAACTGTTTTTACACATTTTGTGTGATATAATCCCAGCGAGCCAGCGAGTCAGCTTATTATTATTAATTTTTAATCAACGGTTAAACTGGTTTTTCAATTAGAGTGAAAATGTTGTTGATGGCACTTCAGCCAGGGGGCACCTTTCAGCTTCCAGCAGAAATTCATTTTCGAAGAGTGAAAACTGTTTTTTATCGCTTCTTGTTTATTGATTATTTATTTTATTATTATTATTTTATTTTATTTTTTGTTTTAGATTTACATAATTTGTGCATTTGGTTGCCCTCGATCAGTTTGTTGTTTTTCTTGGACTAATTCATGTGCTTTGATAATTTTGATTAGAGGCGGCTGTGAACATTATGAGCTGAACGACTTTTTGGCCATGCTTGCTGACTGTAGCTTGACACACTTTTAGGCACTTGCTGGCTCTTGCTGGGGATTTTCCGAAATGCTGCTTCGACGAATGAACGCAATTTATACAAGTAGTTTACTTGTAATTAAGTTCAACGGAGAACCATTGCACCGCTTCGTTTCGCAAAGCCACATAACATATTGAGGGCGAGCTCTGCAGTTTATTGAAAAAAGAAGAAGCAAAAGAGAAATTGTGGCAAGAAAACTGTACAAAAGCGGAATTGTTAATAAAGGAAATAGTACGTAGGCAGAGCTGAAGATGAGCCTGCCCTAAAGAAATGCATAATCAAGCAGAAAAGAGTAGTTGCATAAGTTCAAGCGATAAATGTTGCTGCGCTTAATTTATGGCGGCCAGCAGCCCGAAGCCCGCAGCTCGCAGCCAGCAGCCAGTCAGTCAGCAAGCCAGCTACTACAGCACTGAGGCCTGCAGCGGCATCCGAAAGAGTTGACTGTCTTACTTTCTTTTTGGGTTTGTTTGAATGTGTTTGTCTTAGGCAAATTGGTGCGACAAAAACAACTTTCAATTTCCATTTGAAAACTCTTTGCGTTACAATAAAAGACGAAGTGATAGCGATTAGAGTGTGTCCCCCATTGTTATGCAATTTGTAAACCTAAAATAAAAGACGGCCAAATAAGCCAAAAGTCAATCCAATCGAACTGTCAACAATTGAGAAGAGCGTTTCGAACGCCTGCAATAAGTCAGGCCCCATTGACGACAAACGGGCGCCATAAGTTGACTCACTAGAACTAGGAAGTAAATAAGCTTCCTGGCCTAGAGTAACAGACAACTGAGCCACGCCTACGCACACAAAAGGTCTTGCATAGTGGGACACGGGCTATGTATTATTAATAGTTCATATTATAGTAGGATGTTACATTGCAGGTAGTAAATCCATTTCTACACAATCTGCCACATATTTGGCCGACTTATAGTCTATGAGTGTGTCTGCTTGCCAATTGTCGGAGGCTTACAATGAAATAGTCCGAAAAAAATAGTATTATAAACTCGGCTCTTGAACAAACCGACTCGGCCTGATACGGTGTGGTTTACGGTGTGGTTAATAGCTTATAAGAAATGCTGCAATAACAGACCTTTAAAAAGTAAATATAAGTTATCGAGAAATCGCATAGTTTTTTAAAAGTAAATATATATTATCCATTAATGAATTGTGCAGCCATGAACGACTTATGGATCAATGGCTTCGGATCGATGGTATGAATCGAAATTTTAGCCCAGCTTTTTATTAGTTGCACTTAGTTACCTCTCGTTTTTTACATAAAAAAGTCGTTTCAATACTAAATATATCTATTTGAGACATTTATCACTTTTCTTTGAAAAACTCAATCCACCAATTATGTTGTCTAGGGGACTTAGGCTTCAGTTAAATATATCAGATTTTATATATCCCTTTGTCAACCCAACTCGCTGAATAAGAGTTATATGTATTGTCATTAAAAACAAACCTTTTGAAACAAGATTTCCCTTGAAAAATTGTTTGTTTTAAAATAAATTTCAAGCAAATGATTTCTCTTATATTTTGTTTCACCAAAAACCAAATGACACGGACACAGAAATGTTCGTAATTCGCCGATTAAGCTTTCTGTTGTAAAGCACAGTGAATTGTTTTTATAATATAGCACTAATAAAGGTATTATTTTATTTACTTATCGTATTATTTATTTTTATTTATTTACTTTATCGTATATTTATAGTATTGTTCAAGAGTCGTAAGGCAATATTGCTGTAAAAGAGAACCATACCTTCGCCCCCACATTACTTGTATAGTCGTGAACTAAATAATTGATCCCATGATACTGATGCCTTAACATAGTGTCCATTTTGATCCACTGTGCAACAAGTTGATTGCAATTCATGCAAATCTCGCACTTTGCATCTAGTTCACTTACCTCATAAAAGTAAAAGTTCGATCGTGTTTCATACGTAGTCGTATGTGGGTACAAGTACAGGCATTCATACATCAGCATTATGCTTCCATACACACACGTATACGGGTATGTATGTATATACGAGTATGTATGTATGTATGTACACTCGTAAATGTATGAATATGCAACTAACCAGAGGCGTTGCGAACTTGTTTTTGGGCACGTAGTGGAGTCGGGCCGAGCCAGGCCGAGCCTAGCCTAGCCGACCCGCTTGCTTGCTTGCTTACCTTGATTGGTGATAAAATTTATTTATGCACGCATTGGACAAAAATGTTTATTTATATTTCAGCAGAAATTTTGTAAGCCTCATTCAAACATTTCGTACGATCAGCTCCATCGAGTTCGTTCTTTAATTGCGGTATTTCCAGCACGTCACCCGATTTGCAATACTTTGAAAATAATGAATGCTATCTTCTTCGGAATATACGTACATTGTATATAGTACATACATATGTATGTATGTATGTTCTATGCGAGTGTATTCGCATAACCATCTTTTTGGGGGCGCATACAAATTAGCAAATGATTTTTGCATATTATAAGCTAATATATCTAATTCTAGACCGGTCGGTATTTGTCGCCATTCAGGCAGCAGGCAGCCTCGCCGGGTATTAGGAGCCTCGTCAAACCTGTTGGGCGGCTCAGATTGGGGGAAGCATTTACATATGAAATGCACATGGGCTGCTGGTTGAAATCGAAACGAAAACTGAAACCGAAACTGAAACTGAAATTGGACTCGAAACGCGTTTTGTCTGTTGTTATTCAAATGGCACCAACACCTTTTGGCCAAGATGGAAAATTTGAAACTGGTTAGTAAGTCAGTGGGTAGGCAGCGCGCGCAAACAAATTGGGTTGATGCTGATTGGATGGATGTTTGTTGCCGATCCATGGCCGTACTCGGAGCCACGCTAATCTCCATTAGCAGCAGACGTCGTTGCTATTTAGAAACTGATGCTCATTGAATAAGGAGAGGCTTCGAGGTTTATTTCTGTGTGGCTGTTGTTTCATTAGCATAACAATGCAGCTGCCACACACTCGTTTAATTAAATTTAAAGAATTACGCTTGTAATTGTATAAAAATAATATTTAAGTATGTATTTTATTATTTAAATATACACATAGAAATTAACGTAAAACTACAAAATGTGTGTAAAACAAAAGTTTTTTCTTGCTTATTGCAGTTTCTTTTCTTCTCGTTTCGTTTCGTTTCATTTCTTTTTTCTCATTTCCATTTCATTTTTGTAGTAATAATTTTGTTAAAACTCTTTGTTGTTGTTGATGTTGTTGTTTTTGTTGTTTGTGGTTGTCTTATGTTTTCTTGTTTTCTTGTTTTGTTTTTGTTTTTTGTTTTTTTATAACGTAACACAGCAAAGACTTGGAAGGCGTCATGGGCGCAGCTTAAGCGCGTTTTAAAACGCGCTGCTGCATTGCGACATCGCGCAGCGACGCCAACAGAGTCAGTCAAATATATGTATGTATTTATGTACGAGTATGTAAGTAAAAAGTCTTGCACATTTTTGGGTAAGAAAGGGGGAAGACGACGGAGACGAAGATAAAGTGTGGCTAGGTGTGTAGTTCGAAGAGGGTGAGGACAAGGTAAGGTGCAGGGGCAGGTCATCGGACAAGCCACTTAAGATATTACGAAAATTTTAAGGCGTGTATCGAGCGCGCGCCTCATTTGCTGACTTAGAAGAAACCATCGCCGGTGGGATCGTTCACCCATGGGTAATTGTTGGGGCATCTGACGCAAGTCTGCAAATTGATGGTCTCACCGGGAACCTCCTTGGACGTGAGCTTGCAGGTGTTGGGCACCCAGCAGGCGGGCTTGCCCTCCACCACGCACTTCTCCCTCCAGGGCTCAAAGTTCTTAACTTCGCTGATGGTGCGGGGATTCTGCATCCATTGTATGACCTGAGTCATGGTCACAAAGTAGACGTCGTTGTGGTTGGCCAGAATCTCATCGATCCAGTACAGGAAGGCGTCCAGGAACTCGGGATTATTCTTCAACCAGGCGGCATGGAAGTACAGGCCCAGGGGCGCACGATTCTGGTCGTAATGGCGATCGAAGTTGTGGTTCAGGAAGTTGTAGAACTGATCGCCGGTGAGAATATTCGAGCACGAATCAACCATAGCGCAACCTGGCAAGTACTCATCATTAGCGGGATCCTCGCGACGATCCAATTCGTTCATCACCATCTCCCAGACAGCATGTGATCGTGTGGGACAGCTCTGCAGATTGCCATGGCAGCGATGAGGCATGCGGAAATACATAGTGTAAGGCCATAGTGGGGGATTCGATAATGGTGCCGTGATCGTGGAGTCGTAGAGGAACGCTTGCTCTTCCATCATGGTGAACTGATCGTTTCCACCGACACGCAAGTAGGGGGCGCGCACTCCCACCACCGAGTTATCTGTGATGTTTGCGAACTTCTCAATGATAATGCGCATGCCAGCCATTTCCTTGGCCCACTCATCGACGGTGGCGTTCGACCAGAAGCGCTCATCGTCGTTGTGCGAGATGGAGTGTACAGCAATCTCATGACCCTTTCGCGCCGTTTCCTGCACGGCCGAGTAGTTCGTGTACTTGTGCGAGATGAAGTAGGAGGCCTTGATGTCGCAGCCGTTGGGGTTCTTTCGACCCTTGAATATTTCCTTGTACAGCTCAATGTTGTTGTTGTTGATGGCGTCGTCGAATGTGATGGTGATCATCATGGGCACATCCTTGGCGGGCAGATCGCCGGGAATGCTGGTGCCATCTTCCGAACAGAAGCAGTCGGGCAGAACGCACACAGACGGATCGCAAGGGGGAGCGCGATTGGGATCGTTGTCAATGTCTGCAAAGGAGGTTAAAAATGCATTAACTTCATTCGGTATTCTGTTTGCGTGGTAAGTGCGTCGAATGGGCCGGTTGATTGGTCGTCAAAGTTCAATAAACCCAGCCCATAAATATTTAACAATTAACTAACTGTACAATAACTCAGCGGCCGGTCAACGAACTGACTGCGGCTGGAAAAGCAATCACAGCGGAAAAACCGCCGAGAGACGTGTAAATCATGCACCTGCTGTTTGCCCGTCTGTCTATTACCTTGCCTGCTCCTTCGCTTGCAGCTCACACCTCTCCTGCTGGCGATGGTGCTCTGCTGCTGCTGCTGCTGCTGCCAAAACGCAAAGTGAATGGAAAATGTCTACACAATTTCAATTTTCATTTTTTGATTTTGAGTAATTCAACTCGGCACGTTGTCCGCTGCTTTTTGACTGTTTGGCATGCAGACCGTTCACTTGGCCGTTAGCAGGGCTCGGACTCAACGCAACGCAACTCAACTCAACTCGACTCGTCATCGTCATCAAGCTGGTCGTCACCCGCCCACGTGTGTGCCCGCGTATGTGTCCGTTCATTAGCGGCGATATGTAAATTTCAATAGCTGTTTGTATTTGCGTTTGGCAGGCCGGCCATCGACGTTTGCAAGCCTTGCACTTGGCTCTCTAACTGCTTGCGAAAGTTTCGAGAAACGTAATTATTTTGACACTTGCCAAAGCGAAATACTCGTACCGCCCAAGCACGCAAAGGCCAAAGATTTTTGAACAATTTTTGCTTTTTCAATTTCTTTTTTCCCTCACCTTTTTGCATAAGTAGGGCGCTGGCAGACTATTGTCTTTTGCCTGCTGATGGATGTGAGTTGCAGCAAAAGCTAGTTGTGGCCGTTGTTGGCTGACCTTTCCCCCCACCTCCCCCCTCTTGCCCTGCCAATCCTTGCATTCCTTTTCAGCAAGCAACTCTTGCCGCCACTAGCTTTAAATATATTTGTTTGTGGGTCTTTATTTCTGTATTACTTGCCGCTTTTTTGTAAGCATTTCTTGTTTTGCCAATAAAGTGTCGTTAAAACCAAGTGTTATGTCATCGAACCGGTTTGCGCACTAAATATTCCTTGCTTTTTATCTGAGGGTCTTTTTTGTTGGTTTTCTTTCATTGTGGTATTGGTTTTGCAAAGGTTTCGTTTTCTTTGTCCGTATTACTTCTCCTCTGACATCAAAAAAGATGCAAAAGGTGAATGGGCAAATGGTAGAAATTTTGTTTAAAAGTTGTGTCCGACAAACTAGGACAATAATGATAATTTGCGAAACTTGGATTTCTACTCGTTTCATCTGATCCGCCAAACTATTGCTTAAGAAATATTATTACATTCTCATTTAATTGAGTTTATACACAAAACAAAACAAATGCCATAGAATTCAATTACACATAATTCTGTTTTGGATGGATGACATGGATGAAAATTAAAATCTTTATATATAGTTCAAAAACTTTATATCAAGTCATTCATAATATGTTATTTTGAATCATGCTAAATGGAATAAAGGAACCACTACAGAATTAGGTGTAATTACCAAACCAGGTAATGCTTAATCGAGAATATCTCTTCGTTATCGCAATAGTCGTGTAATATTTTGAAAGTAGAATACACCTTACTTTATAAGTGAAAGGTATAATTGAGTCTGTAAAGTCCTATCTTGTGTTTAACAGTGCTTCTGCTACTGTAACAATTTCGAACCACTCCAAAATGTAACTTTCTGCTACATCATCAATTTGTAAATCAGCCGCTCTTTATGTTTCAAGTGATTCGGATCTCACTTTCAATGAATTTGCGCGTGTGGTTTTTAGTGCCCCATGACTTCCTCATTATACTCCCAGTGGTTGCTCATCATCGTGTTTATCCTCTACGTCATCATCATTATCGCCCACTTAAATATTATTCAATGTTTATAACTTTTACGCTACGCTGCATCCGATTTACGCTTGCGATATTTCAACAGCGAGCGTCGCTATCGAAGTCGTCCGTCGTCCGCCGCCCGTCGTCTTCGCCAAACGTGCCAATTTTCACATAAACTAACACTCGACACAATCGAAACCGCTAATGGGGCTTAGAATTGGTGGACGAGTATGCGAGTGTAGACAAAGACAAGCTTCGCTAGCTCTAAGCTCTAAGATAGCTCTAAGACACTCCGCTTTTAGTCTAATAGGTTGGCTTCCAGCCAGTTTTTACTTTGTTTATATTTAATTGTTGATTAATGCACATTTTTATTCGATCCACTTTGTGCTGCCAGCCTGTGCCGGTTACGGTCGACAGGGCGAGCTCTTGAGAAATGTCTCTGAACGGTTCGTGCTTGGTAAATTATGAACGCAAATAATAAAATCAGAGGAGATAAAAAACTCAATTTCTTTGTATGGTTATTAAAAAATTAGCTTTGCTTTTTACACTGCCTTTGAAAAAAAGGAGGAACAAAAAACGTTGCTGCCGCTTGTTTACTTTGGAATTAAAGTTTCCCCGCAACCGGCCCAGCTGCCATCATCTTCTTTTGTTCGCTTGCCTGCCACTTTTGACACTTTTGGCAATTTGCTTTTTTGGCTCTTTGCAATTGCTAAAAATAAAAAATGTTAAGCGGCTTATGTAAGCTAATTTACACATGAATCGAATGTTTTGAACATCTTTCGACTCAATCGGTTTGATTTGCCATATTCGTGCTTTTAAGTCCAAGGTTAAAAACGCTGCTATGCAACGTTGTGAATTAATGATTTATTAAATACTTATGTGATGTGATTTGGCTCATTTTCTTTCTCTTTTTCGTTTGTTTATTTATTTCGTTTTTGGCAATGTGCATGTGCATTTCAAATGCGCGCCTATCGCGCCACATTTCCAAATAAGTTGCGCAAGCCCGGCCCGACTCCGAGACTCAGTCTGAGCCTGAGCATAGGCATGAGCCTGAGCCGTACTCGCAGACGCAGTCGAAGTCGAAGTCGTAGTCGCAATCACATTGTCTGACATTTGTAAGACATTTGTTTCCATTTCACACTTGACATTTCCACAAAGCCGATTTCTAAGGGCTTTACGAAACCGGTCTGCACTTTTTGACTGACAATGCAGACCCGATATGGTTGCTGATGCTGTTTTTCTTTCATATGGCGAAGTCGTGCCACAAAGCCGCTCGACGGCGGCACCAATTTAAGCGTTTCACTCCCTCCTCTCTACCCCATCTACCCGCCCCGCACGCTCGCGGTGCATAGCTGTCTCCATGCTTATGGCTTTTATGTTTATTAAAATGCCTTGGTCTTGTTTTAAGGTGCGTCCCGAATAACAGCATTTCAAATTCTAGCACAGCCCTTTAGGACGAAATCGTGGTAGCAATTGCTTCCCTTTAAGTAATTGAATTGTAATCTAAAGAAAGTACTCCAAAGTATTTCAAAATATGATATTTCAGAAAGTGCATACCTAGCCGGACTGAAAAGCAAATTGTTTTTTAAGCCTTAAGTTCACGAACTGTTTAAACAATTTGATAGCTTAAAGTAAATAAAAACAAAAACAAGGTCAGGCTTTTATAGGCCAACACATAATTCTAAGCGTTCTTCAAAATCCACTTCAAATATTTAATGTCCGCTGAAAGTTATGTATCCCAATAAAAGAGAGATATGTGTGTCATAACTCACCACAAGTATTTTCGTCGGAGCCATCTGAGCAGTCCTTTTCGCCATTACAGAATAGGCCACGCTCAATGCAGTTGCCATCACCGCAGGCCAGGAAGCCATCCTGGCAGAGAGGCTCATCGGTGTGCAGCAGCGGCTTCACCCGGCGCTCCTTGTTCTTGGACTTGCAGTTCTTCACAGACTCTTTCCAGTCGCAGGTCTGCTTCTCAATATCAAAATACAGGCCAGCCGGGCAGCGAATGGCTTGCAAACCCTATATAGTAGAAAAGAAATCGGGAAGGGACAAATTTGAAACAACTGTTGAGCTTCCGCGTCTTTTCAATTAAACTTACCGACGAGGTGCACTGAATCACATCACGGCAATTGTCGCCTTCGCCGGCTACCAAGCGAAACCATTCGCCAGCATCTTTGTCCTTGCACAGCTCCTTCTCGAAGGACTCCTCCTTCTTGGGCTCTTCCGTGGTCGCCTGCCGCTTGATTCGCGCCTCTGTGGCGTTGACTAAGTGAGGAGAAAAAAGTGCGAGAGGAAAAGAGTGAAGTAAAGTTGCCAAACCGGAAGAATTTTTGCACGTTGCTGCAAATGTGGGGTTCAGCCCATAACCATAGTCACAACATTTGCCATAACGGCACTTCCTGTTACACAAACACATATACACACTTGACTAACATGTGGTTTGGCCACTAACTAGTCAATTGTCTAAATCTAAACACGTTTGACATTATGAAATACGATGTCACTAGCCCACAACGCGGAGGAATTAAGAACGCGACGGCTGGCAAACTCGTTGTGGCTATAGCTTTGACATTTCGCAAGGGGCTAGTTGCTCGGTAGGTGACAGGTTGGCAACAGTCGTGCCACATTTGCATAACGGTTAATTGAGGGACAGCTAGCTGTGGCCGAGTCAAAATCATGGTTTTGATCCGGCCAGTCAGCCGTCTTGCCAATGCTCGTATTCAAATTGATCGATGGCCTATTAGGTGACGCACAATGTCAACTATTGAGGAGTGCAAATGGTTGTCTTTTCAATACGAAAACAACAGCATTGTACATAGTACGAGCATGTGGAATGGGACTTGTGACGAGGTTACGTTGCAGGCATTGTTCGCTTTATGCTGCCACTGCCACTAGGCCTATAAGTTCGCCCTGTTCGCGGGCACTAAAAAATGAAAGTTGTCCGGCAACAACCAGAGCAACAGTAGCCGCTGTTGCAACACTTGACGACGCATCGTCCGGCAGTCGTCCTTTTTGCATAATCAAGGTTACATACACGTATCAGTGCAGTCGACTTCATAGATTGACATGGCACGCAATGAAAATTAAAACTAAACGAATCGAAACAACCTGGCTTTTAACTTTTCCTTTTAGCATATCCAAGGCCGCGAGCCAGACAATTAGTATAGCTTCCGGCTCGCCTCAGCCTACTTTTGCACCCATTAATTTACCTATCTATGTATAATTGCATGTATACTATGTATGTATGTATATCTACTGAGGCTTACCTGCATTACTGGCCGCCAATGCCAAAACGGCAAAAACTACTAACAGTTTTGCCATGGTACGCCAAACTGAAAACAACAGCTTAAGAGTCGAAGTATATTTAGCTTTATTTTATTACTCGCGCACTTATAACGTTAAACACACTTAGAGTCTTTGGATCGATAAATGATCGCACTAGCACTTGTCTTTGTCCTTCCGATCGCTATCAAAGCTCCATTTACACTGTTTGCTACGATGCCGCGAACAATTTCTCGACCTGACGACCAAAGCCAAAGACCGACTCAAATTTTCTTCTTTTATTACACACGCAGCGGGCTGAGAGCTTTTTGTTGTTGGCTTAATATGCGCAGGCGCAGCGTCGTGGAACTTGTGTTGAGTTGCGCTGAGGCGTGAGCTTTTTTACAGTTACACTGCGAGGGGCAACAACGCGTTCCACACCGTGGATCGAAAGCGTATCTGCCTGTTGCACAAGTGCAGTTCGTTGCGTGCGTTGCTCGTTGGCTGCTTGCTGTTGGCTTGGGTTGGTCTTTGAGGTTGGCCAAAAAAGAGAGCTTGCGGCACGTACGCAGCGCTTTTATATGCAAAATGGCCAACTGGCCAACTGGCCAACTCGAAGGGGTAGTAGATCTGACTGCCGACAGCAGCTTAGCTGCTGTGGTGAGCTTCCACACACAACTTGAGTGTTGAGTTTGAGTTAGCACGAATACGAGTATGGCATGTGGAAGACATTTTAGTTGTTGTCTCGCGACTAGACTAGAGATTTCAAATAAAACTGCTTTACTTGTATGTGTCTCTGTGCTCTCCCAAGAAGCATACATATTAACGGTAGCTAGTTTTTCAATTGGTCGAACTTGCATTAGTTCTACTCTATGAAGCAGCATGCTCAAGATTTTCCAATAGATTTGGGAAGACTTGCCAGCACATTCCGGCAGTTGTTTTGTGGGGCCCACCTCATCAGCATTTAAATGACAAATGGCCTTTTTAGCAGGGGCGGGCTCGCCCAGCCCAGCACTCGAATGCCAACAAATTACGATTCATGGTAATAAGACATTCGGCATATAAGCATGCACACATACTCACACATGCTATACAAGTATGCATGTGCATTTACATGCATGTATGCGTTTTTAATTTATTTTATTTAATTTCGTTTTTAAGTGTCATCAGCTCTGAGGGTGGCTGCTGTCGTTTGCGACTCTCTTCACAGTATGCCGTTCCAATTTAGAGCCGCGATCTTTTTAGCTTCGACCTTGATCGCTTTAAAGCCAAATGAAACATTTATGGCTCATACTCGTAGACTGTTTGGATATGTACGAGTAGTCGTGACCGCGCTCTGCGGGCTGCCAGCTAAATGCTGTGCTGTGCCGTCGAAGGCGTAACAAACTGCCAGTGCTCGCTGCAGTTGTTTTTTGGTTTTTTTCTTTTCTTTTTTTTTGCACCGAAGTGTGCCAAAGTGTTTTGCTGTCATTTTGGAGACCTTTTGTATATTTGAGTCGTCGAGTCGTCTTCATTTACTGCCACACTTGACATTTGCATAGGCAATGCGCTGTGAGCGTTTGTTCAGCTTTCGATTCCGCTTTAATTTCCAATGAAATTCAATCAAATCTCCTTCGCACCGCAGACATCTGATTCCACTTACCCGTATACATACGCCACATACATACATATATTATTTGGCTTGATTGGACGTCAATTCAATAACCAGTTTTATTTCTATTTAAATATATTATGATACATTTAGACAAGTTATGCCTCAGAAACTGAGCGGAAACTTTGCAGTGTCTTCAGTGAATTTCAAGCACACTGTAAGCTCCGTCCATTATACTATAAGTAGTTGAATAGATAAATTACCTACCCTCTCTTACCAATATACGAACATACCATAGATATACCTGCAAATGGATATCCATTTTGTTGCTGGATTACTCTCTTTGCTGTCAGTTGAATATTTACTTTCTGCATTCCTATCCCTCCATTAATCATGATTGTGGCAACTAAATAATGTATTCCAACGAATTCCAATACAGAATAGACTCAAGTACCAAATAAGTTATTTAATTTCTTAAAATTTAATACAATGACGATGATTTAAAAGAAACTTACTCTGGGTAAGGGGGAGACAAGTCTACAAATCAATTTTGGGTCTCTAGCTGTTGTGGTTTTAAAGTTTCCCGTGTTCATCTGGACTGTGTGCTGCCTTTTTTCAGGAATAACAAATTTCAAGTTATCAGAGTAAATCGTAAAAACTTGTATACATATATAAATTAAATGCCAACTTAAAATTTAACAAATTAATAGCATCTATGGCCTCCAGCTCCCTAAAAGTTGGGATTGCGTGTCTTATAACTATAAAATATTAACTATTTAATTATAAAACATTTAATAAGGAATATTATTTTAATTAATTTTAAAAGCGTACCTATTAATGTAATGTGTGTGTCCTAGAGTAAGAGAGATTTAATGGTAAGGACTAAATTCTGTGAAATATGTTATTCAGTTTGAAGAACTTCAAGATTTATTCAATGTTTTGGGAATTTGGGTCGGCTATAAGGAGTTAAGGATCAATATTACCAAAGACTTGTCTCCTGATATCGTAAAAATTCTCAGAACGTATAGTACACATTTTTTTGGAAATTACATAAATAAATTACTTTGACCAATAAGTGAAACTGATTATATAATATTGGACAGAGCGTCTAAAAATTTTCTCCGGCGTTATGACCGTTTTTATACTCTGTAAAGCTCTTCGAGCTGAAAAATGTAACAGGCAGAAGGAGGCATGGCAGAACACACAAAGAATATATATTCTTGATCAGCATGACAAGACGAGTCGATCTAGCCCTGTCTGTCTGTCTATCCGTCTATCTGTCCGTATGAACACCTGGATCTCAGAGACTATAAGAGCTAGAGACACCAAATTTCGCACAAAGATGCGTTACGTGTGTACGCTGATTTTCCCCCCACTTCCCCGCTATGGGGGCTTTCCCGATTTGCAACCCTCCTCCCGCTCCCCAACAATAAGTGGTTTTCAATAACACCCGTAATTCTTTGAATTATTGTCTCAAATTTGGCAATACCCCCAGTTAGTTAGTATGTGTCATGTGTCACATAGACACAATTCCTATGTAAATGTGCAGTTATACACCATTTACGTGAGTTCGAATACCCAAGGAGGTACATTCGATCATTCTTCATTTTTTTTTTTCAATTTTTATAATTATTATACACATATATTGAGAGTATTTCAAAATCGGGATAGCGGACTTTAGCTTCTCGACTTGTTTGAATAAATAGCTATTGAATCCCTTCAGGGCGCTTGTTGTCCTTACGTTTTCGCGATAAACAGAAAATCCAGATGGTGTTTCCCCCAGAGAAATGTAAATTTACTTCTAAAACTAGTTCCATGCAAATAATATAGCTATAATATATAAACAGTGATACAATAGAGAACTTAAAATAAATAAAACTAAAGAATAACAAGAGAGAACGCTACAGTCGAGCAAGCCCGCAACTTCCGTCACTGAGTTATATGCGCCCATAGCAGCAGCAAAATAAGGAAGAAGAGCGAACTTGTTGCTGCAGTTTGGGGGGTTGTACTTGCTAGAATTTGTTTTGCTAATAACTTTTCTTAGAATAACCGAATTGAATAAAATTTTGAACAACAGTAGACAATTATATATAAATTATGTGTGCAAAGTTTGGTTTAGGTAGCATTTGAAATGTGGACGCTATTGACGAAATTCTGTAGCGGGGGAAGGGGGGGAAAATTAAAACAAAAATAAAATAAACTCGACGGACGGACATGTCTAGATCGATTTCTCTCGTCATGCTGATTCAGAATATATATACTTTATGGGGTCGGAGATGCTTCCTTCTGCATGTTACATACTTTGCACAAACCTAATATACCCTTTTTACCCTACGGGTACAGGGTATAAAAAGGCCTATAGAAATTACAAAAATATCTACAAGTAATAAGGAGTCCGACTGGGTGGGAGGATTTTCTTTGCCAAACGGCCAGCTGTGCCCCGATTCACAGCAGAGAGTTGTCAGACTTGACAGAAAAACAAGAAAAATATCCTGAACCCACTCCACAAATAAAAAATGAAATATTCAACACATTCATAAGTGTTCATATGCAATTTCAACAGCATACATTTACATCAGAATCGTGTCTATCCGCGTGTGTACAGTGTACTATATGTGTGCAAAAACAACAACAGCTGCGGGCAGAGTTTACATTTATGGCAATAACTTTCTTCATAATAATATTGACCTATCATGATGAAACTTAACACAAGGATAAGCAAATGTACTAAATTAAAAACAAGAGAGAACGCTACAGTCAAGCAAGCCCGACAGTAAAACACCCTGTACTCTCCACAAAAAAAGAAAATTAATAAAGTATTCAAAAAAGATTAAGTTAATTAATTAAATTAAATAAAAACAGGAATGAAATGCGAAAGTCGAGCAGGCTCAACTCTCTTTTAGCATTCCTTTCTTGTTATTTATTCAAAATTTGCATTTTTTGTGCATACACCCTGCATACACCCTTCACGAGTCTTGCAAAGTGTAAACAAAGTAGATGGACCGTTGAACCTTAATCATCGAGTACCCTTACAAATCCTCTTTTACTGCGGCTACTTCTATCGTTAAGGAAACTAGATTACTGGATATAAAGTTCTTAGGTCCGTCGGTTGTGATTGGAGTCGGCTAACTGGACCTACCTGATGAGCTTATCTTCGTCATCGATTACACCACCCGAGCAGAGATACGTGTAGCTAAGCTAAGTAAATCGGAAGTCGCCAGGTTTCCCGAACGCTCCGTTTTTGGGTTGACACTTTAAAAGCTCAATTCAAGGACTTTTGCCGACCGTGAGGAAAAAACAAAAATTCAAAAAAAAAATTTTTTTGTTAAATTATTAAAAAAAATTGAATAAATTAATTAAAATAAATTAGAAGACATGTTTATGTTCAGTTTTAACAGCATACATTTACATTACGTGCCTATGCGTGTTTATATGCTTGTATGTATGCACCACAAAGTCGAACCAAAGCAGCAACAACAACAACACAACAACAACAACACTAACTTTCTTCAGAATTGACCGATCATGATGAAACTTGGCACACGGACACAT